TGTACTATGTATGTACTATGTGGTATGTGCTATGTACTATAGGTATGTACTAATGTTACTATGAGTTAGGTATGTACTATGTGGTATGTGCTATGGTTACTATGAGTTAGGTATGTACTATGTGGTATGTGCTATGTACTATAGGTATGTAGTATGTACATGTATGCTTACTATGAGTTTATAGGTATGTAATATGTGGTATATGCTATGGAACCACCCAATAAGTCAGGGTGGTCCTTTATTTGATTTGCAGTGGGAATGTGTTTTCACTGGGATTAGGAAAGGAATATCGTGTCCTTGGGGACATTCGTTCACATTGAACGATACAGAGAAGATCAGCATGGGGGTTAAAAAAAAAAAAAAAAAAAAACGAGCAAGGGAATCTTGTGCATGGCAAACAGCTGTATGAGCTGGTTGTAACGATTCAGACTTTTTGTGCACCTATCGCGTGGCGTGGCATGTGTTGCAGTTGCTTGGAGAAATCCTGCTGGACAAAACGAACATTGGTGTGATGATAAAGTACATCGGCGAGGCGCAAAATCTTCGAATAGTGATGAATCTGCTCAAGGTGGGTCTATCTCAAACACGCATTTTCTTGCCCAAAAAACCCTTGCTGTGTTTTTTGAAATGTTCCTACTTACAACGACTCTTTAGGCGACTCCGCACCTGGGGGAAAAAGCAATAACAAAGAAATGAAAATTGTCTGGCCCATGAAAAAAACTTTTTCACGCCATAGAGTATTGGTCTGTCATGCCAGCAGTCGCTGGTTCAAATCCCGTTTTTTCCCGGGAGGTTTAGGCTGAGTGGCTGAAGGCATTGGTTTGCTAAATCAACACACAATAAACGTGGTAGTACCCAAAAACGCTACTCAAGATTTGACGGATTCGGCTTATCAAGAATCGACGGATTCGGCTTATCAGGTCAAGATAGGGGTGTGAAGAGTCATTGTGACCTGGCAGCAGTGTTTTTTCAGGCTGGGCAGGCCCTGGCAGGCCTGGGCAGTCGGCGCGTGAACTTAGGTTCGTCCAAAGTGGCGTGGTTTAAACTTTAAAGGAGATACATTATGATTATTATCTGATATAAGAAATTGTCTGACTTTTCTGACAGTTGATGGGGGATCTCTTGCTTGACTTTGATGAATACGGGGCTCTCATTCTTATGAAACCTCAGCCCATTTGTGTTCTCGAACTTCTCGTTTGGTCCTCGACTTATCGACCTACTTTCGACTTTGCTCCCACTTTCGACTTTGCTCTCCATGTTGTTTGTTCTATTTCGTGTCAATTCGCTGCTGTGGAAAATTTGTGCTCTTTTCTCCTGGAAATTTTGTGCTCACTTCCCCCCCCCCCCCAACTTTCTCCCCCACCCCCCCCAAAAAAAGAAAAAGAAGTGCTCTCGTTCAGCAGTCCCCTGGTGGTCTAAAGGAGATACACCATCTGATATAACACATTGTTTACTTTTCTATGGCTTCTGACAACTGGTGGGGTTTCTCTTGCTTGCTCTTGATGAATGCCCTTGATGCCAGGACTCTAGCAAAAACATTCAGTATGAAGCCTTCCATGTGTTCAAGGTAATAGCAGCTTTTTCCTTCTCAATTATCGCCATGCAACAGAAGAAGCTCCAGGAATAGTTTCCCTTCCCCCCCCCCCCCCCGCCCCCCCGAAGGTCGAATAATAAAATGATAATGATAAGAAAGGAAAGGGGGGATGGAACTGTGTGCAACAGTTGTAACAGGGACGCTGGGCCCGGTTCCCAGCATGCGGTGGTCCCCACGAATAAGAATGGTGCCGTTCACAAGAGCGGAGCTCGCATCAGACATCGGCTTTTATCCCTGCCTGATGGTGGGCTGCCGCAGTTGGTGTTGCAAAAACAAAAAAAAAGCAAAAAAAAACAAAAACGGAAAAGAAATCAAAGAAAAGAAAAAGAAAGGAGGGGCAGTGCAAGACAGATAAGAAACATGTCACATTGCATTGGATGCTTGGACGCATGTGGCTGAATGGTACACCCATGAACTGTTGACGCACCTGAGTCCGAGTCCTGCTGGATGCTGGACTCCAATGAGTTAAATTATAAGTCTGTTTTTTTTTTTTTTTTTTTTTTTTTTTTTTAATGAGACGATGCTCCAATCTATTCGTGGGGAGCAACACGGCTGGGAACCGGGCCCAGCGTCCCTTATCAGAATACAAAAATGAGCTACCGGGGCCATTACCCGGCTTCGGCTAAGAACAATTGAAGCAAAGGGAGAACTCAGAGACATTCATGGTCCACTACTCACTCTACCAAGTCACTAGAGTATGTGTGTCAAAAAGGCTCCCAATCACGAGTCAGATAGGTGAAACCTATTCAATGATTAAATCCACCTACAACCGCCACCAGCATGGCTGTTTTCAGCACGAACTGAAAGCTCTTTCAGGCCTTATGCTCCCATCAGGCTAGGTTACAGAGTTGCACCACCTTGCTCCAGCACCGGCCAGCATTGCTCCAGTTACGACCCCCAATGACCACTGAGACTGGCCCTGCAAACAGCCCCCCAATATCTCTACCAGGCCTCATGCCCCCACTAAGCTAGGTCACAGAGTTGCGCCACCTGGCTCAGGCTCTGGCCAGCGTTGCTCCAGCATCGGTCTTTGAGGGCCACTTATTTTTTTACCACCCTTCGCAGGATCACAGATGACTTGCCAGATAGCACCTATTCCTCCTACAACCTCCTCGAGAGGCAAACCAAATTGAAAGAAATATCACAGGATGTTAGAATTCTTCGAGAAAGATGAACCCTCCGTCCCCCTACCCCTCCCCCTCAGTCCTACACTTCCTCTGCCGAGGCGAGTCTCCCGCTATACCTCGGCCCCAATATAGGACCAACCCTCCACCCCCTTTTCCCGAGGAGCACGCAGCTCCCACCTAAAGCATGCCTCCCCCCCCGCCCCTTGCCCCTTTCTGCCTCCGCTGGGACTGATGTTGACCCACACACCAGCCCCCGCCCCAGAATAGGGCAACCCCCTACTCCGCCCCTACCTTCTTTGAGACATTTACTCCCCACGTTCTGATGCCCCTGCAAGATAGAGCTCCCCCTACCCCCTTCTTACCGTTCAGCCCTCCGGGAATAATCCAATCCAGCTGAATAGAGTTATTGATGACACGCTTGCCAGAATGTCGAATCACTCCATGCCAATCGCAACTTGGAAAAGCAGGGCCTCTTCAAAAATATATGCAATAACCCCCGATATCACCATACATCTTTAAGAACAACCCGCTGAAGAAAGCGCAGGGCGGCAGTAAGACTGTTACAATATTCCCCGGCCCCTCGCACCAATCAACGTTTGGCAGCTCCCCACCACGTGCACGAAACACCAATTTAAAAGAAGCGAAATACTAGATATTGGAGAGGGTCTTCAAAATTTATGGCAATAATATTATAATAGTGGAATTCCAAAGCTTTTGGGTTCCAAGAACAGAAAATCATGCTAGAAGTTTACTTGGGACTTTTAGAAATTATAGTTGAAATTTCAAATTCAAGGATACGTAGTTACAGTCTTATAGAACAGATCCCTACGAATTGTGCTGGCGATTCAGAATGGATGATAACCCGTCAGAGCTTTCGTAAAGTTTCAAATGCTTAGTGACCAAGAGTATACGTGGTTATATATATTATATATATGTTTGTGTGAATGTACATGGCGATGAGAATTTTGCTGCACTAGATTAGAGCAAGAATATAGGACATTAGAAGATGCAAAATTAAAATCATTGAAATCAATTTGAAAACGGCAGCCGACGAGAAGAGCGCCACACATATTCGCACGAAATTCTCCTGCTCCATCACGGCTGTCATTATTGTGCCGCTCCCTGCTTCCGTGTCTTTAACCGGTGAACCAGCTCAAACGAACGCTTGAAACCACCAGCTCTTTTTGACGCTCCAGCTTGTAACAAGCCTCCTCCTCCCACTCCGCATGAGAAGATGCCCCTCACTTTCTGCCCGCGCTGTCCAACCAACAAAACTAAAAGCTACTAGAATTTCTTCATTGTAAAGTAAAATTTGTTTTGAACTTAGCACACTGAATAGTAAAATGCCAAACAGAACGAATTCATGGATTCTGATTTTTCTTTCTTCTTTGTCCAGACTCTAGAAGCCTGCGTTGCTTGCGTAAAACATAAATCTTGGGTTTACGAAAAGGCCTCCACTAGATTCGCGCAGGAGCATAGGAGCAGGGCCACTACCATGCCCAAGATCTCATGAAGACTATCCTAGTCACCCCGACAGCCTCCCTTCCTCTAGTGTGTTAACCTGCGACGCCACACAAAGGAAGCACGGAGCAAGAGACCTCTTCAGCCTAGGTTATCAAGGCTGGAAGAACCCTCAGCCGAAGCATCACGTCAATGGCCGCGCCAGACAAAACCAACGGAACCTGGCGTCGTCGCCTGCTGCCGTAATCCCCATTGCTCACATCAACTCCTCGATATTCCTCGCAGGGAGCCGCGCCTACAGGGTGCCACTAACTCGTGAACCGGCGCATGTCGATAGCGGAGCGGCGCGGCGCACCCGGTCGCGCCGCGCCGCCGATTTAATTGTCCTTGTTGGGGACGTGCTGGCCATAGCTATCTAGCTCTTTTTGCATGGCCAGTCAGTTTTGGATGATGATCCCTCAAGCTGTCCCCCTTTCGAAGGGGGAGGGGGGGCGGGGGGGGGGGGGGGAGAAAGAACGTCTATATATGTGGTTGATATGTGAACCAGAGAGCAGATAAACAGACAAGGAGAAACGAAAAAGGGAGTCGACAGATAGAACTCCCGCAAAGGTCCTCACAACCAGTTCGCTTTCATTCTTGCATCTTCTGTCCTGATGCTTTCCTTGCAAATGTTACGTGTAATCAATAACGTAATACCTAAACGTGTACTCAATAATCCAATACACACACAGCAAAAGCAGAGGCTCACTGAACGTCTATTCTTCAGTATTTTCCCAAGTGGTTTTCATAGCAAAGTTGCAAGATCCCTATTTGAATCCTTTCTACTTTTGTTTTGCGGGACCGATCTTGCTACGAATCCAAGGCTCACTGACTTGTTTGAGACCAGGCTTCCAGTACTTACCAGCCATTCTGGGTGCTGGGCCTCGGAGGAGGGGGGCGAGAGAGAGAGAGAGAGAGAGAGAGAGAGAAGTTTATCAATACAGATTCTAGGTAAAGTCCATCGTGCTAGAATAGCAAAAAACATAAACAGATAAGTCTTAGCAAGTGTAATACTTATATGTATTATTGGAATTAAAAGTTCTAATAGTAAATTACCTGAAGCCAATGGTAAACTAATTTTATACGTAGAAATAAAGGATATGAGAGAGAGAGAGAGAGAGAGAGAGAGAGAGATGCTGCAAATCCAAGGCTCACTGACTTGTCTGAGCCCTGGCTTCCAGTACTCGTACGAGGCCAGGGCAGCCAGCCATTCTGGGTTCTTGTTTTGGGAAGGGGGGGGGAGAGAGAGAGAGAGGCTCACTGATTTGTTTGAGCCCTGCCTTCCAGTACTTGTACGAGGCCACGGCAGCCAGCCATTCTGGGTTCTTTTTTTGGGAAGGCGGGAGAGAGAGAGAGAGAGAGAGAGAGAGAGAGAGAGAGAGAGAGAGGCTGCAAATCCAAGGCTCACTGACTTGTCTGAGCCCTGGCTTCCAGTATTTGTACGAGGCCAGGGCAGCCAGCCATTCTTGGTTCTTTTTTTGGAAAGGTGGGGAGATAGATAGAGATAGATAGAGAGATAGAGAGAGAGATAGATAGATAGATAGATAGATAGATAGATAGATAGATAGAGAGAGAGAGAGAGAGAGAGAGAGAGAGAGAGAGTGGCACCAGAAGTGAGGTATTGCCGTTTGCCTGGACGCTTATCGTCACTTCGGTGAACCACTTGAGCCCCGATCCATTTTTGGCGCGATGAAAAGGCGCCTTAGATTAAAGAAAAGAAACAAACAAAAAAAGAAAAGAAAAAGAAGGAAAGGCATGGTATGCTCGCCCAATCGGCGGAATGAATGAATAGCAGGCTACCCTATATTCAATAAACGAATTTAATTTCTTATTAATTTCATTACCTATATCACTCTTCTGCAAGGAAGATGAGCGATAGCGAACGTCAGAAAATCAAACAGCATTATACACATAAGACCAGATAGTCGTGACCTCGAACCAATAGCAGAATTGCATCACGAGTTTCACCAAACAAGTGTACAGCAAAAGCTCATAATTGACAATGCTGGGATAGTCTCATCATCATCAACGAAGAACCAATGTCGATATCCTATCTGGTGCTCGACGCCCAGACTACTGATGGCAGATCCTATCTAGCCTATCTACAATGCCACTGATGACGTCAACAGCTCCCCGAAGTACAAGCAGATCTCGGTCAATGCCGTCGCCTCAAGCACCAGGTATGTCTCTCGTATCACTCACAACCTCGTTCCCCAACTCACAGATGCCACATGCACCCAAGAACCACCATGCGCCCCATCCAGCGTACAGCAGCGCAGCTCGGCTATGGCTGCCTGCTCCTTCCAGCTCGCCCGTGAGCGCGTGAGCGCTGGCCAGCGTTAGCGCAGCAGCGCGTGCGCAGCATGCAGCCAGTGCCCGAATGTCCAATGCATGGGCAGGCCCCTTCCTAAATGGAAGTGGCCTGCCTGCCCTGCGTTCAGCCTGGCTGCGCTGGGTCCCTGCCCATAAGCTACCGGTAGGCCCAGGGAGGCTGAGCCTCAGTCCAAACGAATCAGGCCCAGGGCCACCGACGGTTACCCGCGCCCAACTGCCCGCAGCCTGAGTTAGGTCCATGCTGCGTATCTCGCCCAGGGCCTGACTTAAATACATTTGATAAAGGAGGCCAGGGCCTGGGCGCCTTCAACCAACTGGCGCTGCGCAACTGCCTGAATTTTACCCCAGTTGTGAAGTAGTCCAAAATAGGCCTCTTGTCGTCTGTCGAGCCTGCCTTCACTTAGGGCGGCGGACTTGTTGCAAATAGGGGCCTGGTAGGGCTTATTGAGGCCTTGTGCCCTCACACTTCACTCGACTCGAGCCTTTTCTTTAGTGTCCAATTCTATATGGATTAATATCATACATAACGAAATTAGCAACGAAGAGTAGACATAGAGAATTACCATCAGATAATAATAGAATAGATCCATCCTAGACTTTCGCCCCCACAAGTACATTCCTTTCTCTTTTTTAATTATTCTATTTTGCTCACCTTGTTCATAGGTGTCGAAAGTTGGAACTCAAGTCTGTTTTGTTTCTTGAACAGTTCGTGGGTGTACCAGCTGAGCTAGGCCCGTTGATTTCTCTCATCCGTTCTTTCGTTTTGGAAAAAAAGAGGGGCGAGACGGCCTTGAGAAGTTGAGATATGGTATATGACAGTTTTATACCACTGATCTGGATCCGAGCTTGGGTCTGTATTTCAACAGCTCATATGTGTACCAACCGATCCTTTCTTCCTCTCACTCAAAACATGCAAGAAAACTTCTCTATTTCCAAAAAACAATCGAAAAGAAAACCTCCCTCGCGCAGTAAAAGCACACCAGAAGCACGTCAATGCTCTGTTTTATGGCCTGCAGGATGATGACCGGCATGGATCCACTTTTGTACACCGTGCCAAGATGGCTGTAGTAGTTCAGAATTATTATTTTTAATATTATAATTGTATTAATTCAATTTAATTGATGTATTCACTCATACTATTTCTTTCTCTGTATAGTTGACGTATGTCGACACACATTTTCTGAAGGTTTCTGAGTTTTCTCTTTTTTCTTCAATTGTTCTTAGCCGAAGCCGGGTAATGGCCCCGGTAGCTCTTTTTTGTATTCTGATAAGGGACGCTGGGCCCGGTTCCCAGCCGTGTTGCTCCCCACGAATAGTTTGGAGCATCGTCTCATCTTAAAAAAAAAAAAAAAAAAAAAAAAAAAAAAAAAATGTATTCGTACTATTTCTCTCTGTTTTGTAACACTAAACAAGATCATCTAATTTCAAAACTTGGAAGTATAACATAAGTCAATGATAATTGTGATAACAATATGTAGATAAGTTAAGATAACCTGATAACGCCAATTTATTTAGGAAATTGAAGTCAGTTAATACGATTCTTTTTTTTATACGTAGAGGTCCTGTGGCTGATAAAGTACAGACTGGTAGGTAGTATTGGACTCTATATGATGAACTTTCTCAGTCCACTGGAGCGGAAGCAGCAAAAATAATGCCGCGTATGATATCATATCATCGCTTCTGAGGATTGGCAGAGGCACGAATGAAGGAAGTGCTGGCGAGCCTCTGCCGTATTGATTTTGACAAAATCAGCGATTTGGGTAATCAACGATAAACGGTCTTTGTTTTGATACAAACAAAAAGAAGATGGCTATGTTAGAAGGTGCAAATTTAATTGGAGCCGGGCTGTGCAACAATCTCATTAGCTGGAGCCGCTGTAGGTATTGAACAGCACAAGAGAAACTCCAATCGAAGGCGATGAGGACAATTGCTGGATGATATCCAAAATTTTCGAATGCATTTGGCGTCTTTATACACTTCACCTCTGTGTGGTTTCTGTTTTCTTGCAGGTTTTTGTTGCAAATCCCAACAAACCACCAGCGATTGTGGGTATTCTCTCCAAGAACAGGGAAAAACTCCTCAAGTTTCTCGAGAATTTCCGCGTAGACAGGGGTACGTACATAGTACATACTACATACTACATACATGCACTTTTTTTTTCTTTTTCTTTAAAAATGAACTAAGATATAGTCTTCTCTCAATTTCACCTTTTACAATCTACCTACCACTACTCCTAAGCCTATACAGGGGACCCCTGCAAGCATTGCTACCTCTCACAGTTAAGGGGATGGATGTTGCCCTCCACCCTAATCAGCAGTGGTCAGGGAGTAGGGTGGAGCCTCTGGTGGGGGGAGCCGGCTAATGCGAAGACCAAGCATTTTGTCAGGAGCTGCGCATCCCATCCACTTCCCCCAAAACCCCATCGAGTAGCAGCAGTGGCCATGGGTATCACTCTCCCACACACCACAAACAACCCACTCACGCTCACATTTCCACTGCCATTTCCTAATTAATACAAGGAAATTTCCAAAAAAAAAGGAAAATACGAGGACATTTCTTACAGCGGCCAGATGGTTACCTGGATGCTGTAATTGTGGACAGGTTCACTTGTCCCTGTCAGGAAATGTACCAGGACATGGACTGTACCAGGACATGGACACATGGGTGCTTGATCTGTTCACGTGCAGTAGAAAAAAACTATCCGACTGAATCTTGCTGTGACATACGAAAAGTGTCAAAATGGGCACTTGTTGACTTTTTTTTTTTTTTTTTGGATGTTGACTTTTTTTTAATCTGTTCATGGCACTTCATGCTTATAGAAGGAAAATTCAAAATCATGCCACTGCATTTCGCTGTGACATGCTGAGAAGGGTCGATATGGTCATTTGTTGGCATTTTGCTGGGTACCAGGGAAGTAAGTGCGCACCCTGGTCGTAAAGCCCAAAACCCTATGTGCCAGTCCGATGTCCTGAGCAGTTCAGATGCATTACACATGATTGAATTTCAAATTCTGCACAAGGCACCACCCTCTGTGTAACTGACCTAATTTCAAATTCTGCACAAGGCACCACCGTCTGTGTAACTGACCTTTCTCCACAAGGCACTGCCCTCTCTGTCGCTCTCCTTCTCCCCTTCCCATCTCCCCTCCCCCCTCCTCCATTCCCCTGTTCCCCTATTGACCCTTCATTGCCAACCCGCAACCAATAGTCAGGAGCAACCAATAGTCAGGAACCAGCATGGCATTCTGCTTGTTGCCTTCCCCTTCGTGATGTCCTGAGCAGTGTATGTCAGCCTCTGATGGGAAATGGGCGTCCAGAGACTGTGCTTGTGGACTAGAACACACCCCTGCCAGAATCTCCTCTCCTATTATATGGGGAGTTTGTCCTTGTGTATGTGTGTTGAGAAGTTGAGTGCTGAAAAGCTGGGGCGGGCACTGCTCCTGGGTGCGAGCGCACTCCGGAGCTGCATTACCGGTTCGGCAGAGCCGGTACCGCCGACTCGTCAGGCCTGCACGTTGCAGGCAGGATGAGCACTTCGTCAACCTTTGCTCACCTGAACACTGTAATTGTGGGCTTGAACACTTGTGTCTGCCAGATGTACAGGGATATGCGAACACTTGTACACTTGTCCCTGCCAGATGTACCGCGACATGCGGCGGAAGCCCGGGTGTGTGATCTGTGCCGAGCAAGAAGCATTCATCTTCTGTCACATGGTGACCAGGTGCCTGATCTGTGCGCAGCCAGAATCATTCATCCTCGGTCGTAGGCTGAGAAGTCTCAAAATGGTCGTGTATTGGCTTGTCCCTGGGTTACAGGGAAGTCTGCACTGCACGACTGTTATGGTGCCTGAAACCCTCTGTGCCAGTCTGTTGCCCTGAGCAGACTCTGCACTGGGGGTCACCCTCTCCGCGACTCTCCTCCCCCTGCCCCCCACCACCGCCCTCCCCTCCCCCATCCCCTCCTCTACCCCCATCGCCTTCTCCCCCTTACCTTTCTTCCCTGATCCTACTGCTCGGAAGAGTAGGAGCGGGGAGCGGCATGGCATTCCACTTCTGTTGGGATCTGACAGGTAACAGTTAAAACAAGCACAGCGTGCAGGCGAGCCAGTCACCACCATTGCCTGGAGGTATTTTGTTGGCCGCCAGCGGACACTAGCAATCTGAACGTGGAGACCCATGTGGAGGCCGGCTGGCTTGTGCACCTGTGCGTCCGTGTCTATCACACATCCCCTGACCCCAAGATAGTCTTTTGCAGAGTCGGTAGATCCTGAAGTCAAAAGGCAGGAATCCGAGCTCAGGCAGCACTGGCCTCCAGGACTAGGTCCCATATGCCCACCCCACAACACCTACTGAAGCTTTTGGTTATCTGTAAGCTGGGGCATGCAGGGTGAAGCCTTAGTCATGTGCATACCGCTGGCATAATCAGGTGTAATAAGCGGAAGTGGAGCAGGGAAAAGGTAGGATAATTGTGGTTTGGTAAGCACAGGAGGTGTGGGGAGGAACAGTAGTGGTCAACAAGGAGCGAGAATTCAAGGCAACGAATTGGTGTGTGTGTGTGTGTGTGTGTGTGTGTGTGTGTGTGTGTGTGTGTGTGTGTGCAAAGACACATGGCGAACATCTCCGGCACAGATACTGAGCCCCGTACTGACACAATACTTCAGAAGGAAACACGCATCTGAGTGAGTCAAGTCAATAGACAACCCTAAAGTAGCACTGCAAGTCCACTAGTCGTACGGAAGACAGAAAAAGCATACAATCCCGAGCCTGAAAGGTCGAGGGCACACAAGACACGACCAGTAATCAACAAGGGACACAGGATGGAGGGCATGGGGGAGGCGGGTGGGCAAACAAACGACACAAGGCAAACAGCACAAAACAACAAAGCACACTGGGTGAAACGCATGGGGTAGACGAATGTGCAAGCAAACAACATAAGGCAGCAAGGGAAACAGCAGCCAGCCAAACAACGACCATGCAAAAACAGCACCAAAAAAAAAACGAGTATAAAACAGACAACGACTGAAAAAAATAGGAAATGATGAAAGATTGTTTCGTCTGAGTTGCACCGACTCATCAGGAGGCTGAACCCTCGACGATCTGCGGGAATCTCCGTATTAGATGGTTTGGGTCATTAACCCTTTGACCCTTGTTGAAGGCAGACTGTCCCCAAGCGGAACATAGCAGCGGGCGGCGACCCTGTGGAGCACCAGGCAGCACAGTAGAGGCGACACGGCTGCACAATGCCAAAAACGACTGCAAGGAAAGACATGGCATGCAGCGCGGAAACACGGAAGGCACGGCCAACGGATGAGCAGCAACGCAGCGGAGTAGCAGAGCGCAAGGCACCACCTACAACACGACCACACCACACAGTAAGCACAGCAATATGCAGAGAGCCACATGCAAAGCAAGCGGGACAGGCAGCAGGGCAGCGGCGGAGCGTAGACGAGGACGTCCACACATCCAACATGGAGCAAAGCAACAGATGACGTACTCACATTACGATTGAACCCCGCAGACTGTTGGTCCCCACCACCCACTGAGCCAGGGCGTCACTCCGACGAGCATCCATCATCACCCATAAGCAACACAGACAACCCGAACTGAGGAGCCCCCATAAGAGTGCAGTAGGCACTCCAAACAAGGAACCACCGACTGTTTAGCACTGCTCGAGGGTGCTCCATTGGGCACACGAAAACTACTTAGAAAAAGCTCAGGAGGACAGACAACAGGAGAAAGACTAACAGACATAAAACTGATTGTGTGTGTGTGTGTGTGTGTGTGTGTGTGTGTGTGTGT